AAAAAAAAAAAAAAAAAAAAATGCAAAACATAAATAACTAATTCCTGCAAACATTTCTTTAATAAGATAAGAAGCGAATGGATCGAATAAAAGCATACTTTGATTATGTGAGCAGCTGAAATTCATAACCCTGTTCTTTAACTATGCATCTAGTAACTTCTCCAACTGCTTTGACCGATGCTGTATCGCTTGGTGATCGGCCTGACTAATGAACTCGATGTGAAATGAAAAAATTATCAGTTTGTTATTATCCCCTTCCACACTCTGTCCTCCAAACGTACGTGATCTAGCCAACTGACAAAGGATCTACGCCATTAAATCCACCTGCCCCAGCCCCTCCTCTCTGCCTCGAACCAAACCCGCAGCACACCACCCTCCACCCCCCTCCCTCCCCTTGCACAATTTCTCCCTCCCACTTTCCCCTGCGCAAGTTCACTCCCTGCGCATGCCTAAATCTCAGGTATGGGTACGTAAAAGTTTTGGCGCCGAAATTAATAAGTCAATAACCACAAAAGCTAGGAGACTGGTGTTTTAGAATGCTGCTTGCTCAGTGACAAGGCCTTAACCGTCGCAAGATGTCATTGCAGTGTTTTGAGCATGATCATCTCGTTTCCAAACGCTGCTACCTCCTAGATAACGATATATAATTTATAAATCCGCATATATACATAAATATATATGCGGCACATACAAATATGCGGATTTATAAATTTATACTATAACATATTTTCTTCACAAGCAGTGTAATTATGCCAGCGAAAACGGAGAACATTTACTTTGGTCTACCGCGTCCTAATGCTATAAGGCCGATACAAAGTTAAATTAATTTTATGAAACAAACTGTGTAATTTATCAGTTTAGGGCCGAAAAATTCTAATTACATTTGAACTAACTGATTTTGTCGAAGAGACGCCGTTGAAAACACTTTTAAAAGATTGCAATGCTGTGGACTGTTCCTCTAATTTGATGTTCAAATCAGCGATATGTTCATGGAGATTTTGTAGCTGTGTTTCATAGCTTTTCCGTGTCGTTTCCAGATCATCCTACAATAAAAATTGGCCAAATTTTAGTTCTGAGCATGTAAGACAAAGCCCAAGTACTTCGACGTCTACGCAGCAAAAAGCTACGGCAATAAGTTATTGCATAGATACAAGAACGTGTTCAAACACTAGAAAAATTTTTTGAATTTTCAAAACCAAAAGCATAATTAGCACCAAAGTTTCAGAAACTATGCTGTTCAGAAGTGGTAAATAACAATCTACGTTCCGCTATGAGATGAAGGTTAGGATGTTAAGCTAGTAATCTTTTCAGAAGATGAAACGAATTTCAGGACTACCTGAAGTCTAGTGATCGAAAGACGATGCAGCAATCCTGGTATATTTTCAGAAAGTCTCAATTATTCCCGTTTTAATTACACTTCCAAATCCTCTGGAAAATCAGTTCTCAGCAACACCACTAATTCAAAAACAGTAAACGTTTCGCAAAAATTAACCGAACCTTTAACGCTGAGGCTATCGCATTGGCACTGTTGAGATCCAGTAGCAACTTTTCTTTTTCTTGCTTTGTCAATTTCATCAATTTTATTAGGTCCTTGCACTGAAGAAGAAATTAATCAATTACATTCTTCATTATATTTAAAGAAAAAAAAATAATATACGGTATTTGAGGAAAAATAAAGAAACAAAAATAACTGTCTTGTCACAGGTTATTTCAAAATATCATTGATTTTTTTGGTAAAACAGAAAATCCTGGTTTTCCAGAAATTCTTGTTTTTAGAATCATTTCCAAAATCAAAAAAAAATCTCCTCAAAACACTTCAGGCTTTGGTAGAAAAAGAAATACGATCTGTTTTCAAACATAAGTTCTATGTGGTTGGTAACCAAATGTTCTAGAAACTGTAGATCGGACGGTCGCATAAGGTGGAAGAAGCAGAGCGGAAAAGATACGATCGGATTCTTACTTTCCGCCAGTTTCTAGCAAAAAATTGCCTGAACCAAAGGTCACTCTTGCATTTGCTGTTCACTAACACAAAGATCAAACCTTTCTTACTCTCGCTCACATTCTAACTAACTAAAAAAAACCCCTCTTCAAACCCCACTTCCCATCGCATTTCAACACGTTTATAGCTCTGGTACAAAATGAATAAAAAAATGGTGATCTCTTTCCCAATTCTAATCCTCCGTAGAAAGCATTGCTGACTTCTCTTCCAAGAACTGATCGGTAAAAATATTAAAGTCGCTTCAATATGTGCTGCAAACTCGTACAAAGTGAATAAAATTGTTAAATGCAAAAAACTTAAAACTAATCAAAAAAAACTGGAAAAGAAGAAAATCCGCAGAAGCAAAACTCGCCTCATACTTATAGTAGAGTGCTCGACTTCGCATATGCTCAATATCACCATGCAAATTACTCAATCGTTCCTGATAATACGAACATATCGAACTCACATCATGGTTACTGAGCATTTCAAACCAGTGCGCTTTTTCGGAAGATCTGAAACAATGCATGAATAAATATTATATTTTAAAGTTTAGCAGATTTCTTCAGTAGCACAAGATTTCGCGTAACGGGAAAAAAGGAACTGAAACTCATAAGTGGATCCAGGGCGGTTTCCACCTCCCCTTCCCCTTCGTCACTATCCCCTTCCCCGGCTCTCACCACTGGACACTAAACTGAGACTGACAAGGCTACGGGGGAGGAGGGACGACAGGGGGTACCGAGCAGAACTTTGTATAGTAAAAGAACTACTACCTAAGCTCCTGCCCCCCCCCCCGACCCCTCCTCCCTGGATCCGCCAATGCTGAAACTATGCATGAACTTATGCAGTCACGATCTTCAAAAATTTCCTTTGCTCTTTGAGGAAATCTCTGCAGTGATGAGGATTGCAACTGCCGTCCCCTCCACCTGTTATGTTTAAAAATAATCGTTGGTCATGTTGACCACTAAAAAGGACCAAAACTAAAAGGCAACTTGAAATAAATGGTAAAACTAACTCCGATGATTCCACTTCTGTCTTCAACAACTCCGAATTCATTATGATCAGTTCCTTCTCCTTTTCAAGTTCCAAGACCTTTTTTCTTGCTACTTCCAACTGCAAATATGTGTATTATAATAAAATTGAAGAATGTGCAGGAAATGGGAGGTGGAAGAGCAAGACCGAAAGCGGAAATTGATGGGAAGCCGAAAGCAGGAAACGTTCCGGAACGAGCTAGCGCTTTTCTCCCTTCCCCCTCTGGCTTGGTGGAAGTGTGAGATAAATTTCTGCCCAGAAAATTTCATCAAAATGAATCAGCTGCTCGCTGATTTCCTCACTAGGACAGCCATGTAAATTTAAATATCTGCCACTACAACAACAAGGCCGACAGTAGAGAGAGCGCCAATTAAGGAAGGAATGAATATCTCAAAGTTTGGCCCATCTCAGAATAAGGGAGAAGTAGGGAAAGAGAGGGAAAACTCGATAAGTTGTGGCCAAGTAATTCCTCAAAATATGCTATATCCACTAAATTTAGGTCTTAAACTTGAATCAATAAAATATCAGTAAAGATGAGGGAACAGACCTCATATTTAAGCAAATTAGTTGCTGACGTATCTTCAGTGCTCTGAAAAA